TTAATGGGACAGTTTGACAGTCTTTTTTTTAACTGTGAAGTGATCTCATTAAATTATTAAACAAGTGGCTTAATTATGCCAACTTTCACATCTAACTGAAAAGCAGATGTTTTATTGGAAAACATATTGCTTCATGAGAGCAATATCTAGACATATAGTCACAGATTGAGACCTAATGACAGTTTAAAGGCTAAAGATATTTGGATACCAAAACACTTTACTCACAGATTTACACAGTTTTACAAATTATATGATTCCCTGTTTTGTGGAAGAGAACTAGGAGGAATCACTGTAATGTATGTAGTCCTGGACAGATCATGGATTTTTCTGCTCCCTGGATTGTCTAGAGGAAGCAGAGTAGATCTTGGCTCCCAGTCACTTGTCCCCAGAGTCTGTCAGGTATTCTGAGTAACCCTGACACTCTGAATTTTCATGAATTATAGCATTGGATAGGAAAAGCCTTATTAGTGATTAGATCATTCAAATTATATTTTTCTTATTTACTCTTGCCATTTTTTGGCACTCACAATCTGTTCCAAACACATCTTGTCACATTTGCATTTGTTGATGACCAAAACATTGTTTGCATAATTCCATTATTTATTTTATTGAACACACCAAAACTATTATTTTGTATGAGGAATCTGGCTGACCATATTTTATCTACTGCTATGAAAACAAAGCTTTTACAACCTATACTAGCAATGCCTAACATACTAATTGTTATTAGTATTGGTGTGCCTTCCTTATGCAGGAAGGTAGTAGATAAACAGGTAATATACTTCCAACTGCCATCACCCTGCTCAAAAGATACAAATGGATGAGTCACTTTTGTTCTCAAGCTTAATGAAACATATATATGTCTGTTCTCAAAAGAAGGTGAAAATGGAATTAATTTGTTGGCTTCTCAAAAATAGAATGAGACATTCACAAAAGATGGATAGATTTCATATGAGCAGACAGGGAAAACCAAATGATTCATATGAGGGTCACTTACAAGTATTTTGAGGTAAATATCTTTAAACAGTAAACAAATTAACAATTGCTTTACTATACCATGAACACTGTCTGCATGTAGCAGAGATTCCCAACAACCTGCAAAAAGATTCCCATACTTCAATCATCATCTTTCCCTTCAATCAGATTAGTTGGGGGAGAGGATGTGTGGGGGTATTAGTTATTTTCAATAAAATATGTGTCACTGTGATCAAAATCTTTCTTTTTCTGAAGAGGAAAATTGTGTTTGCCTTTCCCACAACAGATAAAGGTTCAAACTTTCCTAAGAGAAAAAGTTGTTATTCAACAAGGCATTGGGTGCTTGGGTAAACTGCAATAAGATTAACAGTGAGTCCCCTACAGAAAACCAGGAAATGGATGTCCCCTACTGCCCCTTTCCTGTGTGTTGTGTTCAGGGAAAGGAGACCACTCACCTGCTCTTTAACCCTTGTCTGAATAAAAGAGAGGACCCAAGCTCAGCTGGAGAAGTATCTCATTCAGATGCAGTCCTGACCTGTGCTGTTTCAACTACAAAACTTAAGGTAGGACCCTATTGAACTGTAGCCCTTGTAGAAGTTCTTTTCTCTTTTTTCTTGTTTTTTATTGGTCACAGGAAAAGGTAATGCACACCTTGAATCATGGGTATGAGGACTGAATTCTAGAAATATGGGAGAAATTATGAATTCCATGACAAAATAAAAATTAAAAAATTATATATGTTGCTGGAAGAAAAAATTAATCTGTGTCTCTTAGCATATAAAACTGATACAGTTACAGGCTTACAGCAGGCATTCAAAGGTTATGATCTACCATGATATGTCCATGCAGGCATTTTGCAAATGTTGATGTTATAGTTTCTGATTAGCAGACATCAGTCTCTGCCACAGGATTGTTGCCCTACAGTGTTGCTTTGATGTAATAACAGTAAGCTCAAATAGCTGCTATGAGTCAAACTCAGGCAGCTATTTCTGTGTTTTCACTCATCCTGTTGCATTATTTCACAGAGCTGGATGGGAGTAGGAGGATTGGATGAGTTAAATACCCTGATACAATTTAGTATGGCTTCCACTTTGGAGATGGCTCTTCTCTAACTCAACTGGATCATGGAAGAGAGTGGCCTCAAATCTACACCACAGGAAGAGTAAATCAATTTGTAAAAGGTTATGTGAACATATTCAAATATCAAAGTGTTTAAAATGTTTTACACAGAATAAAATATTAGTTTCATATAATCATATATATAACTTATATGACTGAAATAAAAAATGTAACCAGAGGAATGTTTTTACCAAATGTAATCAGAGAGGAACTTTGATTTCTTTTAGTGGAAAAATATGTTCAAATATTATTAGAGAAGCTGTTTCTCTAATGACCAGAAGATGTTGCTGGTGACCTCTGCACCCACAGCTTCTAAACAAAAATATGCAGTTTTCACAGATAACTGTTCTTAAGAGCAAAGTAGGCTTTCATATTGATGAAAACCACTTAAAAATAAACAAGCTGTTCAAAGCAATTGGTAAGCTATAAATATTAAAAATTAAAATATAAATATATATTTATATATAAATATGAAAATTAAATTGTATATGAAAAATTATATATGGATTTATATATGAATATATAAATTATATATATGTATATATATTATATATATATAAATGAAAATATAAATATTGAAAATGATCATGTGAAACTTTATATAGGGATACCTCTTTGTGAATTACTGTGGTGGTACAATTAAAAAATATATATAGGCAGTATATGACTATGGTTTCATATCATCGCTCTTCATTAGTTTTGCACAAATGTTGCAATCACACAGGAGGGGCACAGAAAAATTATGCTTAGTATATGCAAAACTGCCAGAAGCTATGCATTGTTTTCTTCAGATAGATCCTTTAGACTAATATTTTTAGCATGGCTGCTCCCTCACTTTCACTCTCATCTTCCTCAGGACTGGGGAAGAAAATAGCAAGAGCAAAAGCAATAACACTCACAACCAAAGACAAAAAAGGTTCAATAAATGAAGGACTGAGGGGAGAAAAAAACAAACTTACAACAACAATTAGTTACCACCTCTGATGGTAGATCAATGCCCAGCCAAACTCTGAGCAACAACTGTCCTGGAAGATGGTTATTATGATTGTGCAGGATATCATACAGTATGGAACTTGCCTTTGGTCAGTTCAGGTTAGTTGTCTCAGCTCTTTCCCCTCCCATAATCTTTCCCACGCATAGCCTAATTGCTGAAGGAGCAGGCTGAGTAGAATGGGAAAAAGACTTGTCATCAAGTGCTGTTCAGCCATGGCTAAAACAATGGCGTGTTATCAGCACTGGTTTACTTGCAAATCCAAAGTTACGAAGAAAATTAACTACATTCCAGCCAGAACCACTACAGTCACAATATGTTGAGATATTGTATAAAATATGTCTTTTGTAAAAAACAGATTTTGCATATTACCATCAGCAATTAAACCAGTGAAAATTTTGGGTGGAGGGCTGGGCAGGAGGCTGGGGGTATTTTGTTTTGTTCTGTTGCATAAAAGACAAGAAGCAAGTGGTACATTCTACTAGCCAACATTAAGGATCATTCTATGTAAATTGCCAGGATTGTTGATTCATTATAATAGTTCTGTCAGATTATATCAGCCAAAATTGCTCTTGAAGACAGGTACAGTAACGAAGTGATGCTGATGAATAAATTATGTAGTCTAGAAATAAATAATCAAATATGAAAAGCTTTTTGACATGCTCTTTGACAGTAAAGAAAATATTATTTGATGATTACACTCCAATTCAATAGAAGCAGAAGACCAATCTATAAAATATTTAACAAACCAATCTGAGTGAAACATGTCCAGTCTCACTGGTCTATGTGAAAAACTGAGTAACTGCCTCTTCAAATTAATCAGAAATACTTTGGTATGCTCTTTTAATCGGAAGGTCACTTTAAAGATGACAGGCAAGAGTTCTTTCTATTTGGGCAAATATTTGAGCTTACTACCTTGTTGTATTTATATAAAACTGTGTGCATTGTCCTTGTGTAAGTACTTTTCTCTGTGACCTTTTCAAGCATATAGCAAATAAATCTTTCCTTAGCTTTAAAGTGGCTGTCATAACAACACCACAGGGCTCTAGGATGCTAACTAACAATTTCAAAACAGTCTAATCAATTTTTAAAAAAAAAATCATTTAAATTAATAGGTGTTGGTATGAAATGACTAATCAGCTTTAATAGTTACAGTCTGGGCATTTTACTATCTTTCCCAGTTACATTTCCATAGAGTTTTATATATAAAACAGTTGTATCAGTCTTTATTAAGATGGGATTAAAATGAACAGTTGCATAAAGGAAAGGACTCATGCTGACATTAAAACATTTTCTGCAAGATCTGTTTTGTTGCTTTGTTTTTTTTTTCTCTTAAACTGATTAGGAATTATCTCGTTGCAGTAAATTAAAGCAGACTTCCCATCAGAGGAGTGCCTAGGTAAGAATGCAATCTCAGTTTGAAAGTCATCATCTTTAAAGGAAAGGTTCACAAGACTTTTACTCCAGACAGGATTTCTACCTCAACCTAGAATCTCAAAATCAGGCTGCATACTTTCTCTGCTCTGGCCCAAATGAGTTTTATACTCAGGTTCAGGGGTCCTGGTGATTGTTATCTACAACTGGGAGAGAATCAGGTTTGAAGCACTTAGGCAAGCAGTGAGAGAGCGAATAGAGGGAAAAAATATGTCATAATGGTAATTTCTCTAAGCAAATTTAAATCTTAAAGATAAAATTGGTTTCTTCTGTGTCTTTGTAGAGCATTCACATCTGACCCATGCTGCACAATTGTCCTTCAACATGTGATCATCAGAAATTTAACCCAAAATGTGAATCTTTCTCCTCACATAATTTTGATCAGAAAAGTCCAGGGTAGTAACTAATAATAGGATACTATCTGTACTGTGCCATGGATGGTAGGATTACAGGATAGACTATGATTATAATTTCAGTCTAATTCAGGATCCAACATGGCTAACCCATGAACAGCACCACGTGTCTAAGAAGTGATAAAATAGAACCAACCAACTCTTTTGATATTCCTTGGTGTCTGACTTACATCCCTTGAATGACCTGGTATGAGGAATTCTGCCTAGCACACATTAGGTACAGATCAGCAAAAGAAACCACAATGAGATACTTGACATCCAAACAGATTAGTTTAGCTTCATGTTGAAAGCAGTGCAAAAATGCTGTACATAAAAAAGGTATGCATTGCAAGCACTTATTTACATCATAAAATAAAATGTATTATGTACCATTTGTTACTAAAATGGAATATGTATAAAGAACTAAAATATTAGTCCACTCTGGTCAGAACATCACTGGGTAAAAGCTAAAGCTTGTTATCATGTATCAGGGCACCGTGAGGGCTGGTGTCTCTCCTGGCCCTGGAACCTGGTGTGAAGGGACCTCCTCATAGAATGTCAGTACCGGGCTCCATGGCTAATCCCACTGTCAAAAGTCAAAGCCAGTGGGATGGAGCCTGGCTGGAAGTGTCTGCTCTGCCTGCTCCCAGCCAGGGCACAGAGCAGTCCAGGAATCAGCTGGGGGAACTGGGTATCTCCATGGGGAAGTCCAAGGGGAAGGCCAAGGATTGGTCCAGGATTGGTCCAGGCTTGTCCTGTTAGGTCATCTCTGGGACAGGGATCGAGAGCTCCAGAGGGGAGAGAAAGACATCCTGATCCTGGGGCAGGAGACAATGCAGGAGGCTCGTAAGCATCACTTTTTTGGTGGTGATTAAGACAAATCTCAGTCTTGATCCCACCCACATCATTAATCCCAAACTTGCAAACATGATGAGTCTTTCACTGTAAAAGAAGTAGAAAAGTAAAAACTAGGAAACCACTTAGGTTAAGGACATTTATCAGAGGCAGTTTAGCTGAAATTGGGACACCTATGTCTTGTACTGAAAAAGGTGTCAGTGGGTCTCTGGAAAAGTATCTTGTATTCCCAGGAGCTCAGAACATGAGAAACTCACAAATGTACTATCAGAAATTTTTATGTAGTCTTCAAGCTTCTAGCTATATCACTCGACATAAAACTAAGCATAAGGCTATACTATTTTAAAATTCAAGAGAGTTGCTCTAAATTGATTATAGTAATGAGGGGAATTTAACTTAACAGGGAGAGATTCAGCTAGAATAGCCAAATGACTATGACTACTTCTAATGATGTCCTAAATGATCAGCAACCTGCCAAAGAATCAAAATTAATTCTATATGTAAGAAGTTTTATCACAAATTATGTTGTTTAGATTGTTTTAAATGTAGAAAAATATCCCTAGCAGTTTGTAAACCAATTCTTACTTCCTTGATGGTATTCTGTGATGTTGAACATTAACTGAAGATCCCTTCTGTGGACAATAGGTCTGATGCTCTAGTGCAATGTTCCTTCTGCAGCTAGCAGGTTTGCATTTAATTTGCAAAAGCAAAGTGTTCCTAATCTGCTTTTACAGATGTGATGACAGGAGTAGAATATCAGAGGTGATGTTTTTGTCTTTTCTTCATGAATAGAATGTATGATCCTGAATTTACTCTGTGGAAATGGAATGTGGACCTGGTTTTCTATCAAATCAGTTTTCATACCCCTGAAATGGAGCTAATCCTGGAAAAAAAAGTGAAACAAATGTAGCCCTCCAAACCACCTTAATTATGATTTAATCTATGTTTACTATATTGAATTTTTCTAACAAGGAGAAAAGTGTGTTTCTTTTCATTATTTTGGTTAGTGTTAATTTAAATATGCTGAATTAAATGGTCTTATTCCTTATGCTCCTAAGTATCACAAGTGAAAATGAGGCTGTTAGGAATAGATTTCCAGCAGGCTGGGTATTATTTAGCAATAAATAGTTCAAAAGCTATTAACTCATCTTTCTGTAATTTGTAGCACCTGGTAGTGATCTGACTTTAGACTTCTTCACATACCTTTTCCGTATCATTAACCACAATCAGAAGTCACAGTTTCACAGCAATTGAACCAATGCTCAGAAAGAGTGTTACAGACATTAGTTTTAAAAAATATATTACTTTGAAATAGTTTGGCTCTATTTAATGCCTTCTGTTTTTAAAATAATTCAGTAAACCTCTCTGCAGATTACTGTGGAGAGGAAGAAACACCAGAGCATCGCATCATGTCTGAATAGGACACATCCATTTTGCAAATGAACTGCAACATGAAGATTTGAAATGTATCATGGTACAATGGTACAGTTCAAACTCAATAACATTAGGATAGAAAGCTGTGTGGTATGATCCATAGACTTTACAGTGTAGGCAACATAGAAGAATTCCGTACTGTGATAAGGATGGAAAAAAACTTCATAGAGTTCCAATCAGCCTAACAGAAAGAAAAAACCTGAGACAAAAAGGAGTCTCACATCTTCTGTTAGTCCACATGAACCAGTAGCTTTTTGAGGAAACATTTCTTTATGTGATACAGAAATTTGTTGTCTATTTCTCAGCTCCCAATGCTTAAAAATAATTCCTTCCTAAATTTCAGCTGAAGGAAGATCCTTAGTTAAAGTGGTAAAGGAATATGGAAATATTTTTTTTCTGTACTACGCTTTAACATCTTCCCATCTGTAAAGTAAAATATTCTTCAATGTGAAAATTACAACGAAGAATTTGTATTATAATCACAATTTGGTAGAACAGTTAAGCAAGTTATAATCAAATTTCATTGAAACAGTTTGAATGCATCACAGTACCCTGAAGATCTTAGTGAGAAAGATGGAAGAATGCCTTCTTCTGGCTAAAAGATTACAAATCAGTTAGATGACTGGGACTCCTACCACTTCTATTTCTCAACTCTTCATATCTGCAATGCAAATTGAAGTGGAATTCTTTAAAACTGTACAAAACCTCCACCTTTTTGGCTTTTCTTCGTGTGTGTGTTGGTTTCGCATTAATTGACATTTGGTGTGGATGGACAAAGGCACCCATGGAAATGAATTTTCTGAGAGAAGCTGCTAACAGCTTCCTCTGTGCCGGGCAGAAACCAATAGCTGGCTAGCTCTGAGAACTGAAAACCTATTAAACCATTTAGAAGGTAGGTCTGCAAGCCCGGGGAATCTCTCTCTCGTTTCTGGCCTTGGAGAGGTAACTGGGCCCCGCTCGGGCCGGCCCCGCTCCGCCGCGGCCCGCGCAGCCTGGTGGGGCCGGGCCTGACCCCGGCGGTGGCCGGG